GATGCAGTCCAATTAGAAACAATTGCTTATAGCCGCGGGCCACTTCATTTGCTAGCATCTAATGAGATCCGATTCAAGAGTTGTGTCATAAACGATGACTTTAGAAATAGAATACGATGGCGCCTCGAGATTTATTTATATGATGTGTGTGTTTTTTTTTTTTGAGTCAAGTAAGTAAAAGAATGAAACAGCTTCTTGCCACCTTTTATGCTTCAGTTCAACAAAGATTGTGCTGCTCCCGGTGTACCAGTTGCTCAGTAAGCTGCAGTAATATAGTCGTCATTCTTTGCAGAGGATAAAGAACACATCATATTCGTTAGCCGGTTTTGTGTTGTTTGTTAACATACAATTAAACGGACATGGGAATGGAAGTTGAAGCGATGTGGTTATTTTCAAAAATTACAATTTTACATCATGGACTAATGTAGACCAAGAAATGTGTTTATAAGACTAAAATCCCCTATGTAGCTAAATTGTATTCTTAATTACATGACTTCCCATGAAAAGTAATTCCAGCCAAAATTCGGGGAATCCGACACTCACTAGTAGCCTTTAAATACAGCAGCCAACCCCCCCTCGGGGTTAATTGAGGTGACAGTTGGCGCCGTGGTAGTGACGTCTGCCTTTGACCCACTGACACACTTCCTGCTCCATCAGTCTATGAGGAGCTCCGAGGAGGGTCGAAACGCTCGGAGGTGAGCGTGTCGACTCGCGGTGTTTACCCCGACGACTCCTTTGAATAATTCAACCTTGGGCTTTGCCGTCTTTCGTTCCGTGGCACGCACCAGCTGCTCATTTCTCCCGTACGGCAAGCGAAATGATCCATAAATCATACATAAATCTCTTTGCTGCCCCTTCTTTAATCCATCATTCGCCGCTGACCCCCATCTGCTTCCGTTCACGTTCTCATTTTTCTTCTTTTTTTTTTTTCCTCCGTACACCACATCACCTTCGCCTCCTCCTCTCCCTGTCATGCATAAATCACTTGCCGCACCTTTTACGGCGCATAATCAAATACGTAGTGTGCATCGAGAAAAGCCTTAGCGTTATTTCCAGTTTCATGCTCAGGTGCTAAAAGACAGACGCCGAGCGGCACGCTCGCCGAGCTTGATTCATCATTTATGGAAGCATCGCCTCATTCGACTTTTGCTTTATATTGACTTTTCTTTTTTTCCTCCTCATAACAAAGAAATTATATTCTGAATTGATTCATCACGAGCGAGAAAGACAGGCAGCGGCAACAAAAGAGACAACAGCAGATAACGAGAGCGAGAGTTCACCATATCTGCCGCCGACGATCCCTATAATCTTATAACACCCCTCAGAAATCTGCTGGATCAAAGTGTGTCTGAAATACATCCAGGCCTGAGTACAAAGTGTGTGTGTGTGTGTGTGTGTGTGTGTCCGTGCCAGATTCTTCTTGTGCGATGCGGCAAAAATATGTCTTTTGAGACTGTTTGGGCCCTTTTACGTTCCATCAGCCTTCCCCAACTCTCAACTCAACTCAACTCAAAAGTGGCCTCAATGAGAAAGGGTCTTTATTTGCTCAGTGGGTCATAGATCCGACAGTCATCCGTGTAGCAATGGAAGGAAATTCAATGTTTTCTTCTGATGATTTGGGCCATTTTACAATATATTTATGAGGCTCACACATATTTACTGACTGCATCCATGCATCCATCGTTCCATCAGCCTTCCCCAACTCTCAACTCAACTCAAAAGCGGCCTCAATGAGAAAGGGTCTTTATTTGCTCAGCGGGACATAGATCCGACAGTCATCCGTATAGCAATGGAAGGAAATTCAATGTTTTCTTCTGATGGAACACAAGGGCAGCAGATACAATGAAAACAGCAGAGGCTCTAGAAAGGAACTCTGTGGAACACCGTTTGACAATGAGGTAGTGTGGGACTCAGAGCGACCAAGGCTATCAGCCAAATCTAAACCAGTCAAGATTACTTCAGTATTTTATTTTTTTTACTTCTGCATCTAGCTAGCTAGTTGGCTAGCGAGTCATCAATGCACAGTTCGTGTTTACCCGTGCACTCAAGTGCTATCATTTGCTCACAGATCATCCTGGCCGATGTATTTCCTGTCCAATTAGCCCCCTGACCCCATTCTCTTCCCGTCTGGCTGTCCGGCCCCGGCTTCTTTCTGGTCTTCTAATGGATTTGTGCCATCATCACATCCTTCTTTCTCCAACTAGTCTGTCTAATCTTATCTCATTCGCATCTACGGCCTATCCGCCCAGTTTTTTTTTTTTTTGCACACTCATGCGTGCGTCCGTGGGTGCAGGTGCATATCACACCACCTGTGTCGGACTCCGCTGTTGCCATGGTGAATTCCATTTGGCCCACAGCCACTGCATAGGTGTGTGCGAGTTTGGATTTATCAACCGCGAATGTGGACAGAGAACTCTGTGTTATTTGGGTGCGGTGTTAAAACCAATTTGGAGACTGATATGCTGCATGAAAATGAAAAGAATGAAACAGAATTTCGCTGGATTTTAGATCCCCGAACTGTCTGTTGTTCTGGTCTTCATCCAGCCTTCCTCGGCTTACTAAAATGAAGGCTCTGTCGCATTGTTGACTAACCTCCAGCCTGCAGCTGAGATTCAACAAGAATCAGATGAACAAGAACACATCCGAATCCGCGACGCAATCAATAAACAATCACCCCGCGCAAACCAAATCCCAAATCTGCCTTTTGTAATCGAGAGTGAGCTTTTTTGGTAATGAGAGCTGCTCGTTGTCCTCGGGAAAACCTGTGCGTAAGAGGCTAGCTCTGTCTAATGCGGTGCAGTTCAACATCTTTTCATCGTCAACTGTGTTTTTCCTTTGCGTACATTTGTTAGCTACCAGCGATCTATTGCATTGAAGAAGAAAAAATGAGATAAGCGAAACAATCAATCGTCACCCTTTTCTGCCTGTCCGGAAAATAACACGGCGACCCCGGCCGGTGGCGTTGTAATCTCCTTTTCTTGAGCAGGTGTACCTAATATTGTGGCAAGTGAGTGCCTCTCCATCAAACCGCATTTACAGTATTATGTGATCACTCCTCCCCTTTTCCTTCTTCCCACTTCTTTTCTCACCACTTCCTTCTTCTACCATTGCCCTCGCTTCATCCTCGAGATTTTTAGATCCAGGTCCACCCACGGGTGCTACTGCGCCACCAGCACATTTATTCCTTTATTTATTTGATAAACTAGAGATTTTCAGCGCGTTTCAAGTGCGTTTAACCCAGTCTAATCAACCCGAAAAGCACCAGCGCAGCTCCACCTAGCAACAGCCTGCCCCCCCCCTCCCCATCGCACGCCCCAGCTGGGAACACTGGGAGCGGATTTACATGCTCCCGCTGCCATTCTCTCATTGATCTCCGAGTATATCTCCTGACGGCTTCCACTGCGCGAAATCTTCTAAGGGAGGATATTCAAAAGGAGACCTTTTTTTTTTTTTGTGGTTACTATGGCAATGGCCGCACGGAGCACATCTTTGTGTAATTGTACCTGAGAGCTCACTTGGCGCACAAGGCAAATATTGTGTCCTTCGTGGAGCTCGGGAAAGCGACCTCTAAATTTGAATATATTACTGATGTGTGCACCAGATACGTGAAATCATTTTCACCTAGCATAAAACTCACATTGAAATCACATTTCAGACCGAAAAAAAAAAGAACCGTCAGGTTCGGAACGAACCAAATAATGTTTAGGATCCCAGAAATGTAAACATGAACAAAATGCGATGTCAAAAATTTTTATTATCAAAGACGCAAAGCCAAGAAAGTCCAAAACGGAAAACGCTGGTCACAGGGATACAGGGAAAAACAATACATTAACATAAAAAGGCAAGAAAATAGTTAAACCGAAAACTAAATGGCAAGTAAATTACAAAAACGTGGAATGAAGGGAACGCGAACGATTATGGCGAGAGCGAGAACGAGGTCTAGAAAACAAAACACTTGAGCAAGAGCAGCAACAACGTCAAATAATCCTTCAATACAAGGCCGATGACAACCGACAGCAGGTGTGCACGCAGAAGGGAAAGCCCACGTCTGCCGCCTGCTGGAGATAAACAGGAACAGGATGCAGGATTTCTCCACATCTGAGACTCAAAGCTATTTCCACTTCGCAGGCTAAACGTGCCAGTTGTCTGGACCGCACTTCTAAAGCATTTGGCTGCAATCCCGTCTGGGCTGACCATATGTCCTCGCAACTTTCCAATCGGAAAGTCAATTCCAATCGAAGAAAAAGTCACGCAGTGCCGACTTTACGCGCGAGCGCTCAGGGGGCTGCTTTGCATCCGTGCACAAAAACATTTCGCTCCTATTGAAGGATGAGACAATAAATGGGGGAAATAAAGCAGGAAATTGACGACAGACAGAGGAGGTGTCACAATGAGGTCTGTCGACCTCGTCTCGCACCTCCCGCATTTCATCCATTCACGCTGACGTGCACACAGGATACAAGGTAGCGCACACGCACACGCACACACGTCGTACAAAGGCTGCCATGACCACGGAAAGGAAAGCGAACTCGGGTCGCGGCCAGGCCCTCTGTGGAAAGTTACAGCCTCCTTTCCTGCTTTCCTATGTCCAAGTGTCTGTTTGTGTTGTGCGGACAAAAGCGGCTTTGACTCGCAAAACCCGCGCGCTCGCCCTCCCTTTCCGTCACCGCGTTGTACGCTCGGCGCGTGTGAGTGCGCGCTGCGTTATCGACAACATCGACATATTCGTGCGAGTGGGCCGGGCGAAGATGCGCGTGTGCATACGGTGACAGGGAACAGGGCAGTAGACGTTTATCAGTACCTTGGGGTTGTAAAAAAAAAAAAAAAAGGATGACAGCCGTTCACGGCACTTCTTTTGCGCGCATAAGGTCACGTCGTTAGCTATTTGCATATGCTAGCGTCGCCTAACATTATAACGACTTTCTCTTTGTTAGCAATGTAGAGTTTATGTTACATTTTTACTTCCCGCGACTGTGACTTAGTGTAATTATTTTTTACAGGCACTCGATGATACGCCGCTGTCTTTTCTGCGAGATTTTGCTCAGCGTGTGCACGTACACGACACACGCAATGTGCTTGACAGAATGAAAAGTAAGTCATTTGAAAGCAGTTGTAAGAACAAAAGAGACATTTCAGTGCAAAGTCAAGAAAGAAAAACACCTAGGGAGAAAATAAACACCACATTTCAATATGCTAGCACGCTAATAATGTCAATACGCTCTTATCGTTCCATCAACCCCGATTGATGACGAGGGCGTCCATTTTGCAGCACATGACACCCGTAGCGAAGCGATGAAACACGAGCTTTTCCTCCCTGGTGTAAACGGTGACATCCCCCATGCATCATCATTGCTGCATCTTTTTTTTTTTTTTTACACGACACCACCCCAACGACTGCTGCACAATGACAGCTTGTTGTTATGCTCGCTTTTGTTTGACGCTTCCCACTACAGGCTACCGCAGGCACCGAGCTCCCGAGGGAGACATCTGACGTCGAATCACACAACTTGTTCAAAGGGGAGGTTTGTGTACTGCACAGCAACCGTGATTTTTCTTTTATTTTTTTTCAGTTATTGAGGAAATGTGGAATTTGAATGTAGGTTTTATACGCCTGATTAAATCTCCCACTCCCCCACGACAGCGGCCGGGTCATTTTTCCTGTGACTCACACATGAAAGACATGTAAATAATATGATTTTGATGTGCATACTAGCGTCAGGCCGAGCAGCCAAATAACCTTGGACTGGAGGGCATACTGCAAATGGAATTTCTAGATGGAAGGGTGCTATTTGTCGGTGTACTTATGTGCCAGTAAAAGACAACAAATTTGCTGCAAATATCATAAAACATGACAACAAACTTTGTTTAAAAAGTGAGAATTTCTGACGCCAGATAAAATTTCATCCACATTTAATCCAGTTTAAGCAGCAATTAAAATGAATGCGGAAAATCCCATTTAGCATGCTTGGATGCTTTTATCTGTCGAATCTTATCAAACCAGAATGTCATTTGTCGAGCTGATATGGGATCTCATTACGGTCTGTAATATTCTGCGCCTGGGTAAAAAGTCACCTTGTTTTTTTTTTTTTTTTTTTTTGCAAATCGTTTCCCCCACATCAAAGTTTAGATTTATTTTAACGAGCTGCCCTCTTTGTGTTGACAGTGTTGATTTCAACCCGTTTTCCACTCCGCGCCGTTGACTCGGCAACAGGAGAGCGCTTTGCCAAAACATTGTATTTTAAAGTTGGACGGGCCTGCAAGAGCAGCTGGCGTGGATGTACGCCAGTGCGAAAAGCGAGGCCCAAGAGGGAGGTCGAAAAGCGCTCGCATGGCAGCGCATGCAAAGACTGTGACCGTCCTATTCGGGTGGGCCTCGTGGCATGAACACCCTACACGGTAGGCTGATACAACGTGACGGCTTTTGTGACTCATCGTGGCGGACGCAAGCTATTTTGGGGGGGTGCGGATGCACATCCGAATGCATTAACATGGACACCAACAATGAATTTGTGCACTTTTATGCCTCAAAACACAACACAGAGCCTGCAAGCTGTCTGCGCCACATTAAAAATGGTGAAGTTGTCTATATCTGTGTGTGTGTGTGTGTGTGTGTGTGTGTGTGTGTGTGTGTGTGTGTGCGCGCGCGTTGCTATGAGGCAGCTTCCTTTTCATTGGACGTAGTCCCCGATTCCCTGATCCATTTTGCTTGAGTCATTGGCAGCTATGAACAGAAGATTAAAAACTCTGTTCGTGTGTGCGTGCGTGTCTGCCTTTGACTAATCTGTTCAAACGGTCAGGTGGAAGGTAAACCAGAGAATGAAAGGGAGATTTAGGATGAGCTGCGAGTGTCATCATTGGTTTACGGCGCATGTAATAAGGACGGCGGTCGCTTTAGCGTCTTTACATTAGCGAGGCGAAATGAATAACAACAACACGGATGTCAATCCGCACTGAGCGGTGTTGCTTTTGTCAAGTAGATTTTGAAAAATATAATCACATGACGCATCAAGACTTGGGCGACTGAGAATCTACCAGACATAAAGAAAAACAAAAAATATGTTGATATTGTGGCAGTAAGTTGAAAAATGCCATCGGCATGATACGAACGATATTAAGCTAACATTTTTTTGTGTCCCGAGTGTGACATGAAGAAGCTGTCACAACCCTGAGGTTGTCGGCAGTATTTTTTTCAGTATTTTGAGTCAAAATTGGACAAATTGGACAAATAAAACAACATGTCGCCCCCGTTGTCGCCAAGGGGTGCCAGTCCTAGCAAAACAGCGCTAGCAGGGGTAATCGTGGCCTATTTATGTTGACTCTGATTCCTCCCATTAGCGTACCGGCGATGCGCGATGTCATCCCGCTTAAACTCCGGCTGAACCAGAGTAGAACAGAGCGAGTGAGTTGTTGCAAAGGGGGATTGGGGGAGTGGTGGAGGATGCAAAGAGTTCTGTCAGTTTTTGACTCTTTGAGGGCAGTGATAAAATGGCGGCACAGACTCGAGATAAAAAAATCAGGCGGAATGATGGAACTGAAAGGGTTAGGGGTCGAAAGATTGTGCCTCTGTAGTACGGTTGTGCTCTGTGGTGCAGCCATGTTCAGGCATCCTTCAAGTGTTTCCTGTTCTTCCCTTACATGCTGACAGGTGACGTGGGCGGATGTGCCGGCAGACGCTGGCATTTGGGGGGGGGGGAGGGGGGGGAGACCGTGCAAAGATTTCTCCTGACATTTGTGTCAGGAGAGGGCAAAGCGTGCGCGTCCTTGAGATCCACAGATGCCGCCTTATTCACCAGTCACGCTGAACTGTCGACAAAAACACGAATTGGCAGAAAAGGCCTCAGTGTCGCGAATGATCCTGTGGTCGACTTGAGCTCTGGTGCACTCAGGGAAAATGGCGAACCAGAAATACAACAACTATCAGGCTCATTAGCATTCATCAGTGGGAGATGGCGCCCACTGGTCGTGCAAAACATCAAGGAATATCGCCAGGAGGAAAGCTCTTTACTTTGGAGTCAACCAATCCTCCATTAAGCGTCTCCAGTTGGTCCAAAATGCTGCTGCCTGCCTCTTGACCGGTACTCGTAAGAGGGAGCACGTAACTCCTACTCTGACTTCCCGCTGAACATTCGGCAAGCCCACTCGCTGCCTACCTTTAAAAACTCATCTCAAAATTCATTTCTATTCCGTGGCTGTGGTTGTTTTAAAGTGTTCTCAATAGTTGAGTTGAGAGATAGAAGGCATGAACCTGCTTCAGGCATGAAGGATAAAGGCACTAAAATCCGAGGATTAAAAAGCACTCTTCTGAATTGAATTTGACCACGTCTTGGTCGTCCCACGACGCGTGACACTCAATTACGAGTGCTCCCATCGGTATGCTGCAAAGTGTCTCTCAACATCTCACCTTGATTACAAAGTCAATGCGAACGGCAAGCGCTGGTATGTGACTATTCCATACAATGCACGAAAGTAGATTTACAATGCAGCTTAATCCTTTGTAAAAAGCACTGGAACTGAACTGTTCTTGTCGAGGCTTTGTTCAAAGGTGCTGTGTAAGAAACGAACGCCAAGAGGGAGAAACAAAACAGTCTTACGCTGCCAAGTTTTTCCATCGGACTTCAGGGCAGACCTAGATTTATTTGCGTATGATTTCTTGCACTCAGTCACAAAGTCACAGTAATCAGTTGTTTGGGGTGAAAGTAACCAGAACCCAAAGCTGAACCCAATTCAAAATCTTTTTTTTGGGGGGGTCGTCCGCAGGGGCCGCCCCAATCAGTCTTGCTCTCACGCTCAATTTTACCATAGGACAGTTCCATTTTTGTTTGCTTTTGACTTTCATTTGATATTTTTTTTTCTCCATACATTCCAATTGTTCTTATCGAAACACTCCAAAAGCAAGCGGATAGTAGGAAGTCACATCGGCGTTATCTCCCGTCATCTCGTGTCGTCCTCATCCCGAAGGGTCTTGGTGGTCCGTCACACTCCACTGCGACGGCAGAAAGTGTCCTTGGTTCAACGAGGCCTCAATCACATGCCCGCTCAGGAGATCCAAGCAGGATTTAACACTAGAAAACGTTCACATTTGAGTCAGTAAACCACCCTCGGCGACAACGGAAGCCAATTTCTTACTATTGGCAGTCGTAGAAGTTGCCAAGGAGGTGGCTCATGGTGATGAAGGGATGTTGAAGAATCTGGCTGGGTTTGATCCTTTCGTCGGGATCCAGCTGCAGCATCTTCACCAACAAATCAACGAAGCTCCTCCTGTCCAGGTCTTCTCCCGTCTGTTCGTCGCATCCCTCGTGAAAAGGAAATTAAAAAAATGTTCGGAACCACATAGAACTCATTCACTGTCTGGAACTTTCGGCATTCTTACCTCCAGAAGGTCATATAGGCTGTTTAGGGTGCAGGGTTTGCAAGAGGAACTGTAAAGATTCGACTAAACGGGATACAATTTGATTCGTCAAAAAAAAAAAAAAACCAACAAAACTGCACTGACCGCAACCCTTGAAATCATTCCGTACCTTAAACATCCAAAGGGTCGGTGTCCTTTTCTCATTTCCGGAAATGTAATGTTTGAAATACTGCTTTGAGTACACTCCGGTATTCAGCAGATGATTGGGTGGCTTTCCGATGACTCGAAGTACGTGTCTCATCTAGTGAAATAACATCCGCATTGACCAAAAGGGAGTTTTTGCGGGTTGGATCTCTAGGCTTGGTCTCAAAGGAGATTCAACCCGACTCACCATATCAAACTCATCGCTGCTGGGGAACAGCGCTTTGCCCATGAACAGTTCTGCTGCAATACAGCCGAGAGACCAGATATCAATAGCCTCATTGAAGGAAGCACCCAGAAGAATCTCTGGAGACCTTCACCAAAACATTGACATTTTAATAGCCTTTCATGATCACGATTCATTTTTATCCCGTCGTCGCTCGCTCACCTGAACCAGAGCGTCTGAAGTTCCGAGCCCCTGAACCGTTCCGAAGTCAAATTGGCCGTGCCGAAATCGATGATTTTCACCCGCAGTGGCTGATGCACATGATCCACGAGCATGATGTTATCCGGTTTGAGGTCGGTATGGGCTATCCCGAGGCTCTTGAGGAGTTGCAGCGATAAAGCAACCTGAAACGGAGACGAATGATCATTTCGCCACATCCGATCTTTGGACAATCCGACATTCGGTAGGGGAAGCAAACCTGCTGCAGAATAGGTCGTATCTCTTTTAGCTCCAGAATGTCTCTCTCTCTGACCAGGTATTGGTAAAGACTCATGTCTAGCTTCTCAAACTCGTGACAATAATGGCCCTCGTGGACAAAGGAGCTGAACCATTTGACGATGTTGTATTTTTCCAAATTGAAGTTTTTCAGCACTTCCAGTGTTTCCACCTCCGTCTGCACGTCATTGTTGAAATCTTTCTCCATGATGATTTTCAAAGCCACTGATTCATCCGTGTCCAGCTTCCTGCAGTGGACGACTTTTCCGAACGACCCGCACCCCAAAACACTCTCCACAATGTATTCTGCAGAGGGTGAGCATATCAAAGTTCCCACATTCAGCTCTAACTCCTCGCCGAAAACGCTTCCGGATGAACTTGACTCATCACTCCATGCCGCATAGTGGAATAATATTGACATGTCATCTGCCGATTCAAGCTGATTGTAAAACTCGAGTTCTTTTGCGCATGGTGTTTGTACGTGTATCCATTCCATTTACAACCGGACAGCTTTCGATGTGCTGTGAAGGTGAATTGGGTTGAATGAATAGTGGAGGCAGAGAGTGTTTGAGGGTGAGTCTGCCATGCAGCGTATGCGGCGGCGGTGGCGGGGATGGGGCGGGGAGGGGGGTGGGGGAGACCGGCGGAGGGCGTACTCACCGCTCATGATAAAGTTGCGGTCCAGGAGCTTGAAAAAATGATGTAACTGACACTGCTAAAGGACGGACAGCCACCACCGGCGTCTTTCGATCACAGGAACGGCGCCGCTCACAGCTCTAATATGTCATCTCATGACATCACCCACAGCGTTGCCTCCGTGTTGGGAGCGTTTGGTCACGGGCGAAGCCCGATCAGAGCGTCATATCGTCAAAAATGCTGAGGCAGCATGGGTAATTTCCAGACTTGTCCAAGTGGAAATTTATAGTTATATATCAGAGATTTCATTTGTTATTCAAATTGTGTTGAGCCCGTATTACACGACTTGTTTCGGATGAACGTGTATCAGTTCCAGGAAATGTATACCGAATGTAAAGCTGTACGAGATTTATTTGCGATAAACAAGGTTCCACTGTACAATTCTTTGCGTTACGTGGCTTTATCGGTAATATTTTATTTTGAAACAGTTTTCATTCAAGATGATATGGCAAGCTTATGAGTGAACTGGAGACACAATTGCTCCTTGTCCTCGCCCACCGGTGCTTCCGCTGCACTTAGCCATCGACTGCCGCCTCCTCAGGAGGAGTGTCTGGCGCAGCTTGTGGCTCGAGTGCAATAATCAGGAAGTCACACGGCACCAAAAGAAGGGGCCCAGTCTGTCAGGATGGGTCCTCTTTTCCAATCTGGTGGCCCGGCCTGTCCTTTGTCCACTGCAGTGGAGCATTTGGGTGAATGATATGAAAAAGGTTTTTAGGAGGTTCAGCCCATCAATGGGAGATTATCAGTATGTGTGTGTGAGAGAGTGTGTATACAAGTGAATCTGGAAGAAAGATAGCAATGAGATGGACTCGATGGTGGAGGCATGGAGAAGCAAAGCGCCCCGCTGTTTTGTGCATGGGAGTATCAACTAAAGCTTCCATCACCATCTGAATGGAGGTTTTGTTGGTGCGCAGCCGTCCCGATAAGAATTTCCTTGTGTTTGCGTGAAAGCCTGCTCTAGGAATTCAGTGTTTTCATCTAGTGGTGGTAGAACAGGAACAGATCCCGTGTGGAGAAATTTTCCAATGAAAATCATAAATTGAGCAGGGTGATGGCCGTAAAGCTTCTCAAACTCATCCAGAAGTGTTTCGTGGCTTCCGGGATATTTTTGACCTGCATTGGCCTCCGAAATTTTTTTTCCCAAAACTAACAGCTTACATCACAAAAATGAAAGCCGTTCATCCCATAATGTGATGATGTCGCCCACTATGACATCCGGCGCCGCATTATGATGGCATCCATAACTAATCAATCCCGACGTGATTAAGAATGACTGAAATTCAATTCATGCAAATTGCATTTGATTTCCACCGCTTGTTATACTTCCCTCCCGCGAAAACTAATTTTTGCTCCACGACATGCTCGCCGCCATGAAAACCATCCGCCCCACAACATTACTGAGGTTGAACCATTTGTGAGCATTATCCTCACTCCTGCACACTATAAATTGACTGCCCTAATGCGGTTACGCCACCGCTCAAGAGTAAACACTTCGGAAACTGTGCTCCTTGATGAAAATCGGATTTTCAAGCAGCGTGGTGGCTCCCTCTGAGCACCGGCAAAGTTGGAGGGCGTTAATTGGGGTTTCAATTCGTCGTCCTCCCTGTGATTTAAACTACCAACGGCCATTATTGACGAGACGGGTTCGCCGTGGCAACGGGGAGCATGGATTTAAGGCCGAGGAGGATAAAGGTAGAACAAGGGAGGGCTGGAGCGATAAAACGGCAGATAAAAAGCGCAGATGCCGCAGATTAAAAAGGCAAAAGATAACCTACAGTTCCAAGGGGAAGAGATGTCTCAAGAGGAAGGCGGGGCCACCTCGGAGAAGGATCACCACTCTCTAATGATCAGTCTGCTGGCTGAATGGTTTCCATGGCAATAAGGGGCGCTCGTTAAAGAAGGCCCATCAAGTACTCAGCAGCAGGTGTCCGTCTGTGGCCCCCTTTTTTTTTTTATTATTATTATTATTATTGTTGCAACATGCAAAACCTAAAATATTTGCCTCGGTTCAATCCGGGGTTGCGAAACACTTCCTCGGCAACAACTCGGCCTTGTATAAAGGCAATCTGCATTGTTTAATTGGGGTCCTTCACCTTTTCGAGCGTGTGAAATGCATCTCCTGTCTTTCGTTTCTTTGTATCCGCCAATGTATCATTACCGGCCTTGCTGGCTTGCTGTTGAGGTTGGGAGAGAAAAGATCTTTTGAAGTCACGAAACCTCATTAGTCGCTCCCTGGCATTTAAGGAATTTATTATTGCACGCACACACTTGAGATCCATCAATGAAAATGCTTCACGTTCACTTGAGCGTTTCCCCCGTGACCTCGAAATGAGTGACAAGGCAAACAAAAGTAACCCATTCCGTCCCGTAATATCTGCTCAGTGTGGCGAAACTTTTTTTTTTTCCCTTCAGCTATCAGATCTTGTGTTTGGCTCATCTTTTTGGCGGCGTCGCAATTATCTGAATTCAATGACAGGCCAGTTTTGAGCACAAGTTTATTTACCTCATTGGCAGAGCTGTATCGATATGGTATCCGTAACCCGTGACGTGTCTCCATAGCAACAGCCCTACTGGTGTGGCGGCATGGATTCTTGCTTTAAATAGAATGGAAAAAAGACTTCAGAGGGAGTTGCCATAGCGAGCTGGCAACAAGGAGTATTTGTACTTGTCGCAGAAAGAAAGAAGGTAAGGGGCATTTTTCCAGTTTGTATTCGCTAATTTAGCATTTTTTGAAACCTTGGTTAGCCCGTGTTAGCAAAACCGTCAGTACAAAGGGGCGTGTAGAACAAAAGACATGTAGTTGCACAAGTGTGCACACCCTCTTGACTGTTCAGAATGCCTCAATCACATTTAAACTCGTGTTAAGTTTGAAGTGCCTCTGATTAACCCCAAATAAACTTCAGCTGTTCTCGTGGGCTTTTCCTGACATTTTTTTTTCTAGCAGGAGTGACGTTTTTGCGCAGTTCCAACTGCCATCTCCCAATCACATGTGGGAAAATGTTTCATGGGCCGATTCAACTTTTTTGGGCAGGAAAAGCCTACTAGAGCAACTGCAAGTTAATCAGGGTTAATGTCAAGCACTTTATATGGTGCCAGATATCTGTTAATTCCCAATGAACATGAGTTTGAAAATAGATTGGTCAATTTTGAACACATCCATCCGCCCAGTTATAAGGGGTGTGCACACTTATGCAAACACAGTGTTTACTTCTCCCGTTGAATACATTTTTTTCAATGAAGTTGTACAGGTTCCAGTTCTCGTTAATGGTGTAATGACTTAATCTTGGTCTTGTTTTTTTTTTCTTTATGTCTTCCCCTCCTGGGAAATGAAGAGGGGTGTGTAGACTTTTTAAAAAAAATATTCACTGAAAGTGTATTTCTTTCTAGAGTTTGTACTTTGACTTCAGTACTTCACTAAATTGACCCACCATGACGACGATAACAGGAAACACATCAAACTCAGATTTTAGGGTTTTAATGCAGTTTTTCATTCTTTGATAGACAAAGGGACAGTTTTTGGCTATATAAAAAGCTACTAAGGATTAGAAACCAGTGAAGCGGGGGTTGAAGACGACAGTGCATGTGCTTACATTGGCGGCCACCAATTAGGGACGGAGGACAATCACGCAGTTGAGAATACGTACCGTATGCCACAAAAACCACTTCATCAACACTTTGAACCGCACAAAACTACACACCGAGCCACTTGGAACGCCTCATGTTGAAAATGCTGCATCAAAATTTGGGAGGTCAGACGACTCGAGTGCCCCTAAATCCCGGACTTGACTTGAAATAATGAGCTGTGATTTGTGGTTGGGGGTTTGCGCATAGCACCACGGTTCGTTATTAACGGCACTGCAAGGTCAACCTTTCGGGATTGTCGACAATGGCGCCAGACTGACCTCACGAGCGCTCCAAATGTCCGCTTACCCCAAGACCGGGAGTAAAAAAAAAAAAAAAAAAAAAAAATCAAAATGTTTGGCAGTGCAGAATTGAACTGATTATGAGACATGGAGTAGTCTACGATAAGGCCATTATAATTAATTTTTTTGTTGCTTTTGGTCAATCTAAGAAGAAAAGAGTCGTCCCCATGAAGCAATGACTAATTCGCAGCGAAAAACAAAAAACAAAAAACATGCACCAGAATGACCTTTGTGAGATATTTTAAGCATTTTGAATTACATATCCATACTCAATACGGTTCTTGCTCTGACATGGAGTGATAATTGCCCAGGACGCATAAAAATAAGCAGGTACCACTTTATGGGGACGACTTTTGATATCTATAAACGTAAACTACCTTTTGGCTATTTCACCGTGATTGTAATGAGCGACAATATTTTCAAAAGTATCTCCATCCAGGTCTCTGATAACCCTTTCAGTGCCCAAGCAGTCCAATCCATTCGAACGAATGGCAGCTCCCCCCCCCTCCCCCCCCAATTCAAATGGATTGGACGTCAAACTCGCGATGAAGTAATTGAAATTCATAGCAATGGCACTGAAAGAGTGATTAAAAAAAACAAAAAAAAAACATTTACAGTACAACACACTCATTGATTTGTCATTTTGACACATTTAAAAGTCGTCACTTTGGCGCTGTTTTGCATGCTCGTGGTAGCACTCTACTCTAGCTGATCGGTTATTCCAACATTTAAAAATGTTTTTTGTAAAGTATAGTCCAAAGCCACACAAATCAACACCATTTGTCTCCAGAAATGACGTGTGCAGTTCAATTACTGTGGAACTGACTTATTTGTTGATTACAGCGCATTCATAAGAGCACCAAAGAGTGTACAGTTTTTTTTTTTTTTTTAAATGATACAACAGTGTCGCAGGCATTTTCGCATTGTCCATGCTGAGTTCGTGTTTTATATTTTTGATGAGCCTGTCGAGAAGCTTTTTTTTTTTTTTTTTTCCCATTTCCACTTGATCACGCTTCTCTGAGACCAGCCCAGTAATGTCCAACGCGGTCACGCTAAACGTGTTCACTATGTACAGTGGAGACACCCCATTAAGTACACTTGCACAATTTACTGTATTGACACCCTAAATAAGATCTGTACCAAATATTCCGCAATTTTGGAGACAGCTTTTTGTACTGAAGTTCAACAGACCGTGCAAGCTTAAAAAAAAAATCTCCCATCACAAATATGCGTGAAATGACAATTATAGTAGATTTAAAAAAAAAAAAATGTAAATAGAGTCGTGTAGTAATGTCAGGCAGTGTTAACCGATTGGATTTTTTTTTAAAACCCTTTCATGCACCAGTATTGATCACCTGTAACCTGGGAACATGACCAGCTGTCCACTGTAGTCACCCCTGTAGTTGCCCGGCATCATTTCAAAAACCCCAAAAAAGTTTGCTTGGCAACGAGAGATCTGAAATGTATTTGTACACTCACACAAAAAAGAAACAGCAAAAAAAAAAAAGTCTGTGTGTCTTTAAAGGGTGTGGCCTAGTTGGTGACGTCGACAGCTCTGACTCCACCCTGAAAAAAAAAATCAAAAAATCGGAGGGGTATTTATTTAAAAAAATTTGAACAGTTTTTTGAACAAAAAAAAAAAAAAAAAAAGGAAATTCATTTTAATAGTTGAGTCACTGAGGAAATTTGAATCTTTATTGCAATGTGCTCAATTATTCGTAGAAACTACTCCTGAGGTCAAATAAAATTCAATGAACGTTTTTGAATTTTTGGAGTGAGCAAAAAACGCTCATCAAGAGAAATTCAAATTCAATGGAAATATTGAATCGATAATTGCTAATAATATGCAAGTAAAATTGATCAGAACTCTCGTTATAAAATTGACTTCGAATTTCGTCAATTTTCAGTTTGCATCTTCTCCATGCTTTTCATTTTGTATTGGCGTGTGACGGCTGACATTTTTCCATCGGGGCTGCAAATGATGACCGCTTCCACTTAGCGGACCGAATGAGAAACGGGAGGCCTAACCGTGCCCTCCATCATCGGGACTGGCCAAGGCAAACGGGATCTTCAGCTCAGCAGTGAGATCCGGCCGGCGTGTAGTTACTCAGCTCCCGGCGAATGGTGCTGAACGGCGACAGCTCCAGCTCGGTGGTGCACTCGTGTTCGTTATCGTCACTGGCCGTGGTGGAGGATGGCGTGCGGCTGGAGCAGGAGGCACAACAACCA